CAATCGCAAAACTTAACGTTAGATAGAAGTGATAGACTGTAAATTGCATCGAGCGCAATTCCGCTGGGAGGGTAGAACGTCAGCAGAGTCATTCGAAGCTGAGCGACTTTGGGAAAGTGACCGGCAACTATCCCCGAGTAACTTTTGATTCGGGATTGAACGAGCTCGAGTCAAAAAAAGTTGTGCTTCAGTTGAATCGAATGTTTAGAATTGTGCAGGGCAAATTGACCGTTGTATTTTTTCTTTTTTTTTTCTTTTTTTTTTTCAGTGAATTTCGTGTACTTTTAATCTCTTATTTGCGTGAGCAAGCTGGCAATTCTGTTCAACGATGCGATCGCAAAGCTAACCCGATCACATTTTTGGCTATATGAGCATCGTTTGATCTAAATAGTAACTTAATCTTCCAAACGGTGGCAAAATTATGCAGATGGATCAATCTCTCGATAGAAAGAAGGGACACTTCTATCATACGCGCAATTACGCGCATTCGGTTGCATGAATATTTTATCGGAGATAATTCAAATTCCTATCCGATTGTTCATCTGCTTCGATTTTTACTCAATCCAACTTGACAGCAACTCGTGTGCAACAACACTCACCAACCATGACATTTATTTCCCTTCGCAATTATGTCTTCTTTAATCCACCCTAATTTCGAGCATTGAGATAATCGAATATTCTGTAATCCCGAGTTCCTTCTTTAACCCTTAAACACTAGGACGGGTGAAAATTCACCCGTGATGATACTTTTGAACCGTTGCCACTGTTATGCTAATGTACATTTTTGTATTTTCAAGGGAAGGATTTACATATAATGTTCACAAATATCTTGGACCATTTATGCTCAGATAAAAGAAATATTTTTTACATCGGAAAGTCATTACTTTTCTTTTAAAGAATGGTATACGATTTAAAACTGTTTTACTGCTACGAATTTTTACAAAAAATACTCATAGTTCATCTACACTAAAATAAATAATAATAAAAAAATTATGGGTGGAAACTCACTCGTCCTAATGATAAGGCATAACAAAAACATTCTAGGGTTCAAGGGTTGAGAAAATTTACAGAGTTTACATGAAACGAAAAGGACGTTGGCCCAGAAGAACAGAGAGAGAGAGAGAGAGAGAGAGAGAGAGAGAGAGAGAGAGAGAGAGAGGGAGAGAGAGAGAGAGCGAGCGAGAGAGAGAGAAAGAGCAGCCCTTCAGGGCGACGACGTCATGTCACGTCACGTCTTAACAAACGATACCGATCGACCCGGAGACGCCCTGCCGTCTGGTGCGAACTCCACGATGCCCGTAAGAGAGTCTGGCCGAGAGCCGAAGATCTCAAGCACGTGCAGCCGCGTCCGCTTCTCGGTCCGGCTCTTCCGATTATTCCCGATGGCCGGTCGAGGAAGGCAGGCAGGAAGGCGTTCAGTCAAGTGTAACCGAGGAAAGACTCTAACGAGTACGGGAGACTTCGGAAAGCTCCAGGAGCCAGGTATCGAGTATCGCGCGGCCCCGACACCCCGCGGCACGCCTTTAGGAGTATCGACGTGGCCGCCGCATTTTTCGGCGCGTTCGTCCTCTCACGGAGAGGCCGGGGAGCGGAAGGGAGCGAGATCCACTTAGCACGCCGCTTAGACGCGAAAACATCTGTATTGTCGCTGCATTAGCGCCGTGGATTCGCCCCCCCCCCCGAGGCCCCCTCCCCCGACCCCTCGTCGTCCCGTGATTGCCAGAGAAATTGTGATCTTTCACGTGAAAGCCGCCCCGCCGGGAGGGCGGGTTTTCTTTCGACGAGCGAGCGCTCGTCTCTCGCGCCGAAAGATCGCCGGGCGATTTATCGAACGGGACGCGTCAAGGACGCGCGTACTTTCGTGTCCCTGGGCGCGCGACTGGGTTCCTCGTGTCCTGGGAAACAGCCTATCGCCGCTGAGAAGCCGATGAGAAGCAGATATTTCATACGGCCGGTTAACCGAAAGTCGCGGTTATCCGCTCGCGGATATCTCAGAGTATCCGGAATTAGATTTTTACAATGGCGTTGCACGCTCACGCCTCGACGCAAAGGTCAAGATGAAAGGTCAGTTCTCTGGGTTAGCTCGCGTATAAAAAAGTACGAAGGAAAGGTCGACGCGGAGATCTCGCGAGAGTTATATATTGTTCACGACGAAGTTAGAAGTTAGAATTCATCCAACTTTGTCGCCTCCCTCTCCCTCCCTCCCTCCCTCTCTCTCTCTCTCTCTCTCTCTCTCTCTCTCTCTGTCCTTTTCTAGAAAACAACTCATTCATAATTCATAGCAAACTCACGTCGGAGCCTTGCGACAATTTCAAAATAAACTTATTTGAAATCGAAACGGCCAGTCGCAGCGCGTTTCGACTGAACACGTCCAACTTCGTCGTCTGCCCCTCTCTCGTTCTTCCTCTATATGCGTGTGTGTCCCCCCCCCCCTTTCCAGAAAACAACTCATTCATAATTCATAGCGACGTGATGACGTAATAATTCACTGTCGCGACTGAGTCTCGCGTGAGTTTCAGAATAAACTCGTTTAAAATCCGTGCGCTCTCCGAGTTTCGTCCGGCCGGCGATTTATTCGGCAGCAAAGCGCGCGCGCGCGCGCGCCAAATCGCAAAAAGACCATCAGCAGATCAAGAGATATATTAGTGATGGTCGGTTCCCAGGCCGCTTCGTACCACCGCGGCGTGATCCGCCAGCTAATTAAATTCACGACGTATCGGCGAACAATGGCGGTGTCCGCTACCCTGAGGAAAGGGATGAGAGACCTCCGCGCTCTTCTCTCTTCCTCCTGCTGCTCCTCCTTCTCCTCCTCTTCCTCCTCCTCCTCCTCCTCTTCCTCCTCCTTCTCCTTTCACGGACTCTCCCTCGAGCGTGCGCGACACCCCAGCATCTTCCGTGGAGTTCTGACAGCAGCTTAAACCGGTATCGCTCGGTAGGGTGGGTTGGCCTCGCATAGGTAGGAGAAAGGTAAGGTAAATGTGTATACATACACAGCACACGCGCGCGGATCGCGCACAAAATGTGGGATCCGGTTCGCCGGATCGGGCGTACGATTAACGTACGGATTAGGATTAAGCTTGGCGCGGATCTCGCTGCGCTCGAATGGACCGCACGGGGATGCACATCTCGGACGGACGGATGGGCGAGCGGACGGGTGGAGGAAGAGGAACGGCGGCAGCAGCTCGCCGAGGGAGGGGTAGGGCAAGGCAGGGAACTATAACCCCGAACAGGGGAGGTACTTACAATGTCCGCGGTACGTACGCACCCCTAACGGGCGAGGAACCTTTTCACGCTCGATTCTCCGCGATTCACGCTCGACCCCTCGCGCCGAGCTCTGCCGCTGCCACCGCCGCCGCCGCCGCCGCCGCCGCCGCTGCCGCCGCGCGGCGACGCGAGCGAGGACGACAGTCAATGCACATTACAACGGTTTTATGTTATTAATACGGACGCATTGGCCGGGATTTGAATAATTGAACAGATCCGCGCGGAGAGATTCGCTAGGCAGCCACCGTGTACGGCTCTCTCTCCCCCTCTTCCCCCTCCCCTCTCGCTGGCGCGCTGGATTCTCTCTCTCTCTCTCTCTCTATCTCTCTCTCTGGCTCTTTCTCTCTCTCTCTCTGTCTCTCTCGAGAAGAGCGGTGCTCTCTTTCTCCTCTTCTCTCTTACATTCGGTGTATCTACCTACCTATCGCCCATTTTTCTCCCTCCCCCCCGCGCTCTCTCTCTCTCTCTCTCTCTCTCTCTCTTCCCTCCCTAGCCGCGCGCAACCGCCATAATCCAGATATACCGACGCCTAAACTTCCGCGTGGGGTTCATCGCACTCGGATTGGCGTTCGCGCTCACCGTTTGATCGCATGTAACGCCGACAAATCGATTCGATTATTATTTAAAAGGACGCGCGGCAGAGTGAGGCGTTTATCGGTGTCTCGAGTTAAGTCTTCCGTCCGCGGAGACGGAAGACTGAATGGAGGGGATTAGGGGGGTATCGCGCGCGCTCTCTCGAGCGAGGCGTCGGCGCCCCGACGCTTTTTAGCCCGAGGTAACACCGGCTCCTCGGGCAGGAGAGTCCATCGGCGGAATTGAAACGACGAGTCGCGAGGCAATTTGTTCGGGACGCGGGATCTCACACAGTGTCGGGACGGCGCGGCAGGCCGTGACGCAGGACGGGTTTAAAGGGCGAGGATATTATTTTCCTAGGCGAAGATATATACACTCGGGACGACACCGAGGGCTGCAGTCTCTCGAGCTGTTCGCCCACACGCATCTCGCTTTCGCGGAGTCATGCCGCGACTCGCAGGTATCCGCTACCAGTAGCGTCCTGCGGACGCGCCGAGACAGTCCAAGTCGTCCTTCGGAGATGCGGCGGACGGAATGCGATCGATTCTGCTCCGCGTCGCGACGGTGTGAATGAAATCCTTCGCTACGCCACGGGACGTCGCGCGAGCGTCTCCTCGGGACCGCCCGAGAGCGGAGAGTCTGCAGTCCTCAGCCTCGATCCATTTCGAAGGATTAGCCGCGAAGGACGCTGCTGCGCTGAAGCGACTTCGAAACGCGTCTGCCCCATTTCTGGAAAACGCGCGGGGTTAAAACGGCTTGCGAAAAACAAGCCCCCCCGAATTCGATCTCCCAGCTTCGACGTTAGTACGAACGACGATGACGTTGCGAGAGAGCGGGAGCGAGAGAGAGAGAGAGAGAGATTCGGTAACCTCCGTAATATGCATCGGCAAATATGTCATTCGCTTTTGCGGTCCTCTTTCTCTCTTTCGCCCTCTCTCTCTCTCTCTCTCTCTCTCTCTCTCTCTCTCTCTCTCAGTCTCCGTTCCTCCCTCGTCACCCACGCTCAGCGTCAGAGGGTTATTTCGCGACCACCCTCCGCAGCGACGACGCGCGTAACCTCGCGTGTCTGTTGCCGCGACGCGGCCGAAAGGGGTGTAGCATCGCCGTGGCGGCGGCTGGCATCGTTGCGCGACGCGACGTCTCTCCCACCCCTGAGCGGCGTCGCGACGCGATCGCACCCTCCCTCCTCTGGCACCCTCGGCGCGGCGGTCCTCCGCCGGCCTCCTCTCTCGCTCCCGTTCCCCGTGAGCGCGTCCCGCGTACCGCCGGATATCGCCTCGCCAGCAGCGACAGGGGTGGTGGAAAAGTGGTCGGAGCCAGGAACAACCACGCCCCGGTCGCGGACAACGCACGCCAACCCGAGAGGCTAGCCGAGGGTGTCTCTGTCCGCCACCGATACGGCCGTCGCGGCGGCTGCGGGCCACGGGGGTGGCTTTCGTGGTGCGCGACTGGGACCGAAGGGAAGGAAGAGGAAGCGCGCGCGTCCACGCGGCACCAAGCGCGCTAGCCGCCGCCGCGCTATGGCTAGTCCTCGGATATCCTTTATCGGCGATGTCACTTTGTGCCGGCGACGTGCGACGCTAGGCGCGAATCGGTCACGCCTCGGCGCCTTGGCGGCGGCTTAACGACGCTTAAGTGGATAAAGTGGTCGACGGGTCCGCGAGAGCTCGTCGCTCGCTCGTGAATTTTCGCGTCTCACCGTCGCGTCGTCTCCCCTTGTCCGGACCGCGACGAAGACGAAGACGAAGACGAAGACGACGACGACGACGACCACGTCGCTCGTTAATCGTCGCCGTGATCGCTGGCGTACGAGCGACCGCGAGCGCGCGATCGAGGGAGGCCACATCGCCGCGTCAACTCACCCCCGCGTCTTCCCGCCAGAGAGGGGACCAGCGATTCGGCATGCGGTGCTGAGGGTGACCCGCGACCGAGGAGGTCGACGAGCCTGACGGATTTCTCTCTTCCTCCTTCCTCCTTCCTCGCTCTCTCTCTCTCTCTCTCTCTCTCTCTCTCTCTCTCTATACATATCTTTCTCTCTTGGTTTCTCGTCTCGAGACAAGGTCAAGAGAGAGACACGCGATCCCACGCGGTAAAGTTCGCGAGGGTGTCCGCGTGATGCGAAGAAGAGCGCGCGACGTCGTCGGAGGACGTGGGTAGGAGCTGAAGCAACAGCCGAGGAACAGAGCTCGCCCCTCGCACAGCCTGACGCACAGCCGCACGTGAGGACAACACGTCGGACCCGCGAGGGATCGTCCAGCCCCAGCTCGAGCGGCGAGCCACGATCCACGACGATCCGATACGAGTCCGCAGCGTCCAGCAGCACGAGCTGATCGTAGTAACATGGTAGAGAGCACTTATGCGAGCGACTCGCCTCGATCACGCTCTCCCATGACGGAGCCGTCGAGTCCGCTGCATGATGGTCCCGGTATATCCGGCTACAACCACAGCTACCTGTACAGCTATTCGCCCGAGAGCTTCCAGCAGAAGCTGAAGAGCGTCGACGGCGTGCAGAATCACGTGTCGCCGGCGACGAGGCGCAGCGACGCCGCGACTGCCGCCGTCGTCGCGGCCGCCGATGCCGCGCACGTCGACCGGACGTACTCCAGGAGTCCGATCGGCCTCGGCGAGGAGGTAACCCGGCACGCCGGCAATCGCGAGACCTCGCGAGCCGGCTCCTCCGCCACCATGTCGTCGCCCACGTCGCTCTTCACCATCGACAGCATCCTGGCGCCGAGGCCGATCGGCAACGTCGTCAGCCCCACGAGCACCACCACCGTCGCCAGCTCCGGCGTCATCCAGACGCCGGAGACGATCGAGTCGGCCGGACGCACCGCGGCGATGCACCCGTTGCAGCAGCAGCTGCACCACTTGGCGTTCACCTCGGCGGATTTCCTCGGTGGGTACCAAACGAGCGCGCGCGCGCGCGCGCGAACGCGGCGTCCGGGAGTCCTCTCTTTCTCGCGAGAGACGTCGTCGGGATATTTCAAGATTCTTTTGATCCTTTAAACGTCTCTTTGACTCTCTCTCTCTCTCTCTCTCTCTCTCTCTCCCTCTCTCTCTCTCTCTCTCTCTCTCTCTCTCTCTCTCTCTTTTTCTCGCAGCCGATGACTAACGGGCTGTCGTGCCCGCGGCGATTTTTCGTAATTTGCTTCCCACGACTGTTCACGTGTAGCTGAAACGAACGACCGGCGGTCGTTTAACAAGGTGCGACAATGTATCCGAGCGGTAGCGGTGCTCGCCGAAGCCGTCCGCATGTCCGCATACGCGACGACGAGACGCGCACAACTCCGCAATATCGTATTTATAATCAGCGAGTAAATCGAATCCGCGCGGTATGTCGGTTGCTGGAAATTACGACGTGCTCGCGCAAACGAGGCGTCCGCGATCGCTCGCGTCTCGAATCGCGAGCAATTACACGGCACCGATTGATTCACCGCGTGCCGCGGCACGCGCGCGAATTCGATCGCGTTACATCTTCCGCTCACGCCGGTCCACCGCGATCTCCGTCGCGACGCGGCTGACGCGGTTTTCGGGATATCATCCGTTAACTCGCGAACGTCCTTATCGCGTCCTTTGACAGAGACGAGTCGGCAATTTCGCCGACGGTCTCGCCAGTCGAGTCGATTCGCATGTCCGATTGGCTGAGTCGGGGGAGCACATCCGCTTGCTCGCCCGGGCAAATCCTCGTCGCGACCTTTTCTCTCGGCCGCGCGCCTCGTCCGCGGAGACCCGAGAGAGGGAGAGAGAGAGAGAGAGAGAGACGTTTAACGCGGTTTACGTTGCAGAAATGTAAGACCCCGCGTGAAATCCTAAGAGACACGGCGCGAAGAGCGCCAAAATTTCTTTTATGCCCGCCGGGGGCTTTGGGTATTTCTCCCTCAAGGACCGCGCTCTTTCGCGCTGGGGATACGCGAGATGAAATCCGCAATCCGTTTCGATCATGCATGAACGATCCAGCTCCTTCGGCAATCCCGCTGGAAGACGGACGACGTGAAAAGGAAACATGCAAAACGCGCGAGAGAAAGGGAGGGAGGGAGAAGAGAGAGAGAGAGAGAAGGTCGAGTAAAAGCAGAAATTTTTAACGTCCCCGCATTTTCGTGCGCAACGTCGCGTTTAAGCAGCTTTCTTGGAGATTTTAAAGTAAAACGTCCCCCGGGACGGGGGCGCCGGGCGACCTTTTTATCCTAAAATATCGCGAATGGGGTCGCCGCGCGGCAGAGACTCGGCGAATTATAACACCGCATTCGTGCCGCCGGAGACACGCGGTTTCCCGTTCGAGACTTCCGCCTTCGGAAGTCGACAGAGCGACCGTTGCGATTCGCGAGCTGACTCGCTCGCCGCCGGCCGCGGACGGCAATTTCGGCGTTCCATTCGCGATGTAATTATTGGAGGTGTAATTTTTCTCCCGAGTTCTTCGTACTCGAAGCTCCGGAGCTCCGAAGAAACGAAAATATTCGACGATCGAAGTTTCGATGCTTCGGAGCATCGAACCTTCGAAGTTTCTCCGAACTTGGAAACTTCCAGAATTGTACATTGCCTGATTTTTCGTATACTTTTGTTATCCGCGGAAACGTAGAATATATGACTGAGATGGTCGCACTAGCGTGCAGTGCGCGCGTGCAGAAATAAAAAAAAGCGCAGGCTCAGAAACAACCGCCTCGAAAATAAATCGACGCTTCGAAGAGACTAGTCTTCGGCATAAAAAACTTCCAAGTTCCAAAGTTGACTTCGAAGCTTCGAAGCTGCCGAGGAGTAACAACCCCTAGTAATTATCCCGATTATCGTCGTGAACGCCGACATGCGGATTCCTAACGCGACGCGAAGTAACGTTACGAATACAGCCATGGCCGCATATCTGATCTCCGTCACCTTTGACACTTGCAGCCGCCGCATATCCAGGACTCTATCCCGGAGGATACGTGGCAGCGATGGCCGCCGCCGGGGTCTCCCTGCACGGCCAGCCGGCTTTCTACCACGCCGGCCACCATTATCAAATCAACCCCAACAATCCGGGAATGGGTCCGATGGCGAAGAGGAAACGTCGCCACCGGACGATATTCACCGAGGAGCAACTGGAGCAATTAGAAGCCACCTTCGACAAGACGCACTATCCCGACGTGCTGCTGCGGGAGCAACTGGCGCTGCAAGTCGACCTTAAGGAGGAGCGAATCGAGGTCAGCCGAATTTACTCATTCGCTCGCGCTTCGCGTGCCGTGCCGCCTCTCGTCCTCCCTATTATTTTGGAAACTCGATTCTGTCGCGAGAGAATTCCTTCTCGGACAATCGAGCGGAGATCCTCGGATAATCCTCGATTCCCGAGGATCTCCGGCGGCGTCGACGGTCTCTCGCGTCGTCTAATGAAACGTCTCAGCGACGGCGAGCGTCGCGTCAGCCGGAGGGAACTCGAGTCCTCTCGACACGGGGAAAGGGGGGAGAATCAAGTCGCGTCCGTGCGCTCATCGTCGATCACGCCGAGGCCGGGGAGAGACACCCCGCGCATCCCCTTCGCGCGCGCGCGCGCGCGCCGTTGTTACCGATGAAGGCGATATTAATGAGCTTTCGGGACGCCGCGCCGCGGGGGTGGCAAATTATTCTCTCGTATCTGCGACACGCGACTAGCGACTGGCGCAAGCTAACTGACATTGCACGCGAGGAAAAAGCTGCGGAAAATACATACCGACCCGGTTGCCGAGCGCGACCTCTCGTCCTCCCTATTATTTTGGAAACTCGATTCTGTCGCGAGAGAATTCCTTCTCGGACAATCGAGCGGTAATCCTCGATTCCCGAGGATCTCCGGCGATCCTCCTCGCGTCGCGTCGCGTCGCGTCGCGCCGGTCGCCACTCGAGTCGCCGTCCGATGACAAATTACTTTGCCGAGCAGCGAACGCAGCATTAACCTTCGGATTGACAAACATTGACCGGCTGCGGATGGATACGGGTCTGCACGCACGATTTGTAACGCCGCGCGGTGGTCCTGGAAAAGTGGCCAAAAGTCGATTCCGGAGGTGAAGCCAGGCAGACAAGACAAATGTCCTGTCGAATAGAACTAGTTAGTTTTGTTACTTGACCGGCTACTTTTTATTTGGCAACGACTGAAACTATGAAAAGCACACATAAAACCGACGATTTTATTTTCCAAACGTGTGTGAAAAATCTGCTATTGCTTCTCATCCGTCATTTTACTTGGATCAATCATTGCAACAGGGTGCAAAGTATAAGAATGAAAAAAGGAGAAATGGCGGAACGTTGCATCCATGTATCAGCGAATTTCGGAACTTTGATTATACTCTTAAACAGTGTCTCCTTAAGTTCCACTACTTAAAAAAAAAAAGGAGGAAGGTAGCATTGCATTCCTTACAGCTTATACTTGAAGAATATCGCACGCACTTTGTTTGCACATAATTCGAAGAATTTCTTGATAATCCGCGATAAAGCGCGCTTGAAAGGGGTTTACCTTTTCAGACACCGAAATATCTTTGAAGCTTGCAGGAGGACTTTTCTGAGTCGCTGATTACGAATGTCAAGTCAGATTTTCAAGGTTCAAAATAGCAAATCCAACATGACGGACGAAAAAGTCAGAAAATGTTTTAATTTCAATGGAAATCACTGTCTGGGAGCTCTGCGGCCTTTAATTACAAATGTGACATTAAAGTTTGAAGATCAAAGCGCAATATGATGCGCCATATTGAATCCGGCAATCCGACTCTTAAAACCCTGATATCACATTTTAGTGGAAATCTTAATGGAAATCATTATCTGTGTGTGGAACTTTCTCGCTCGCTAGTTACAAACGTGATATCAGAGCTTTAAAAGCCAAACTGTCTGAAAGGTCAAAAAGCCTGACTTCACCTCCGGAATCGATTTTCGGCCACTTTTTCAGCCGTGCTGACCCACCGTGCACCGGCGAGCTCCCGCGCGGGTCGAAACGCGGCCGGCGTAGTGTTTGTCGTCCTAATGCATAAAAGCCCATAATATTTTAACGTGGTCATTAAAATTTAGCGCGCCAGGTATTTATCGGGCCGAAGCCCCCGACTTGAGCTAACAAGTTGCACGCTAGATTAAAAGCTTTAGCGATAATGTGTTTGCCTCAATTATACATACGATCGCGTGCGCGTGCGAGCGCTCTCTCTCTCTCTCTCTCTCTCTCTCTCTCTCTCTCTAGGCGCATACGCGCGTCGTACAATTTATAATCTGAAGTGTACTCCAGCGACCGCGCGGGAGCCGGCACATTTTGCGCGACGCGCTAATTTCGTATGAATTTACCTTCCAATTAATGCCGCGGCCTCATTGTGTCGCTGATCGAACGTTGATTTTTTTGCTCCTCCCCCGGCGATCGGCGATCTGCGTCGATTCTGTGCAGCCGCCGCCGCCGCCGCCGTTCATTACGGCCGTCACGGTTCGCCAACATCGCGAGCCTGCGAAATCAGCCGCGATTTTCGCGCCGTGCGAGTAGCCTCTCTTGGACAAAAACGCGTCGGGGTACCCCGACGCATCGCTTTTGTTTTCGCGGGACATTTGGATAACGTTTCGCTTCTGCGAGTCAGTAGTTTTGCTCTCCGATCGATGTCTTGGATCAATATTGGCCATTTCGTCTTTAGGCGAGCGTCTCTCCCTCTTCCTCTCTCCCTTCTCTCTCTCTCTCTCCCTCTCTCTCTCTCTCTCTCTCTCTCCTCTCTCTCTCTCTCTCTCTCGCTTTCTCGGCACTGATCAAGTTGTTTGCGACGAAATGCAGGATCGAGGTTCGCGGAAGCGTAGATGTCGAAGCCAATTCCGGTGGGTTTGGTTTACTCTGGCGAGCGCGATAACTCGAGACCCGATTCGGAAAACGCGTAGAGTCGAAGGACGTGACACGGAATCACGGGAGAAAGCGTCATAAAAGTTAGACTTGGATCCTGCGGAGAAAGAGACAGAGAGAGAGAGAGAGAGAGAAAGAGAGGGAGAGAGGGAGAGAGAGAGAGAGAGAGAGAGAGAGAGAGAGAGAGAGAGAGAGAGAGAGAGAGAGAGAGTTGAAGTAACTCCTTGTGTTCGATGGCCGACGAAATCCCGGCCGTCGACTCCGTCGAGTAATCACGGGACTCTAAAAATCATTGACACTCGCGTGGGACCACCCGCGTCGCGTCGGTTCCGCCAAAGAGATCTCCCCCTCCGTCCCCCTCAGTCTCGAGAGTGTTTAAAGACTGGAACAACACATACCTGAAGAGACCCGGCCGGCCGCGACCGGTGTGCGAGAGTCACGGTGTTTGCACAGAATTAGTGGAATAGCAACTCTCTCTCTTTCTCTCTCTCTCTCTCTCTCTCTCTCTTGCCCTCAGTGGAAACATCGAGTGGAAACGTGGGAGTCAAAGTGGGAGTCGCACGGAAGAAGACAAAGAAAAAAGTAAGAACGGGGGCTCGGGAAAACCGAGAAGGCGCGCTGTTTCGTGGACTCTCACGATCGTGTCGACGCGACTCGACAAATCCGGCAAATAGACCCGCGAACACGGAGAGCAATTCGGGAACCATCACCGACACCGCTCGTGTTTCGGCTCGAAAGCGAGTCTGTGATAAATCGGTTAGAGACGAATTATCGAATATCGGAAATAGTCCTAGGAGAATGTGTCCTAGGATATTGGCCGTTTCGTATTTAAGCGAGCGTTTCGAAATCGTCTCTCCTTTTCCTCCTTCTCTCTCTCTCTCTCTCTCTTGCTTTCTCAGCATTGATCGAGTTGTTTGCGACGAAATGCAGGATCGAGGTTTGCGGAAGCGACGATGTTGAAACCAATTCCGGTGAGCTCGGTTTACTCTGGCGCGAACGCGATGGCTCGAGACCCGATTCGGAAAACGCGTAGAGTCGAAGAACGTGAGAAACAGAAAGTCACAGAAAGTGACAGAAAGTCCTAGGAGAGAGTCCAACGCTGAATTGCAAATTGCGACCAATTGCGATGCGGAAGGCCGCCTTGCTGGTGGTGAAGCATTGCGAAGGTCTCGCTCCTTGAATTAACGGGTGAAGGCTCAAGAACGAACAGTTATTTGACTTATTTCGGCTCGATATGACATTTCCCACCCTCTCTGTCCCCGTCTCTCTCTCTCTCTCTCTCTCTCTCTCTCTTGTACAGATGCGACATAATCAACACGAGCGCGGCGGATTGAATCTCTCGTTTCGCGACACGGATGTGATGCAGCGCGATCTTGGCAGCGCCGCTCCAAGGCAGGACTCTTCAAAGTGAACGAGGGTTAAGCTATTACAACAGCTAATGCGGCACAACGAACGACGGGCAGGGGTGGATATTGATTGTCGGTTTTCATTCGGATTGATTCGGACAAGCGTGAAGGAGGCCGCGCGTGACCCCGCGCGAGCGCGGCGGGAACCCGTTTCATCTCTCGCGTCTTTTCGTACTTCACTCAGCTAATGCTCGTACACGCTCGTACGCGCATTACGGCGACGTGCGTCTTGTGATTACGAGCGAGTGTCTCGCGCTCATCGAGCAATTACCGACGCCGGCGCATAGTGTTGTGAGTTGTGATACAGGAAATTGATGTTCAAAAGGGTCTACAGCGTTCAATTTTCTTGGAAACCGATTGAGACGATTTTTTTTTTTTTAATGAGGGTGAGGAGATTACCTACAATTCTACCGAGCGATATTTTCGATATCAGGAATCCTAATCCAAATCCTTAATGGACAAAGTATGAAATATTGATACATTTTCAGAAGATGATTTCTTCTACTTCTGTCAACGCGCAAACGATTATAATTGCCAAAGTATGGTATTGGTTTACTTTCAATGTCTTCTTACACTCGCAATATATAAATCCGAAGAGATCAATAGCTTACGCGTTAAATCTTCATTCGTTGCTACTCGGGAAATTTGCCGCGTATTGAACTGTCTGAATCTTCGAATTTCCTTGTTTCTTGCTTCTGCAGCTTGCCGCTTGCTGTGCAGGTTTGGAGTTTACGAGTTGAGTAGTAAAAGATTTACAAGCCATGGATTCATAGTTTGGCAATTATAATGGTCTGCGCGTTGATTGAGAAGTAGAAAAAATCATCTTCTGAAAATGTGTCAATACTTCATACTTCGTCTATTAAGGATTTGGATTAGGTTAGGATTCCTGATATCGAAAATATCGCTCGGTAGAATTGTAGGTAATTTTCTCACCTTCATTTAAAAAACAGAGATCGTCCCAATCGGTGGAAAATTGTATGCACCTTTTTGAACATCAATCTCCTGTATCACAACACTGTACGGCGAGGCGATCGGCTTCACTCGCCGAGAACGATAATTAAGCATCAGTCAGACATCGTTCCCTTTTCCCTCCCAATCTGTCCGCTACCAGAGGTGTAATTCTTTTTCGAAGTCTTCATATTCGAAGCTTCGAAGAAACGAAGCTTCGATACGAAATATTCGACGATCGAAGTTTCGAAGCTTCGAAGCATCGTACCTTCGCGGTTTCTTCGAACTTGGAAATTTCGAGAATTATATATTGCCTGATTTCTTATACTTTTGTTATCCGCGGAATGTAGAATATATGACTGAGATGATCTAGCATGCAGTGCGTGCATGCGGAAACAAAGAACATAGGCTCAGAAACAACCGCCTCGAATATATCGAAGCTTCGAAGCTTTGGCATGAAAAACTTCCAAGTTTTCGAAGTTGACTTCGAAGCTTCGGCATAAAGAACTTCAAAGTTTCGAAGTTGACTTCGAAGCTTCGAAGCTGCGAAAGAGTAGAATAGCCCTGCTCGCTACTCGTCAGCTCAGCTGATCGCGAAACTCCATCGCTGTGCAGTCAGCGGGAAGAAGCTCGCGACATTGTTGTCGGTACCTGTAGCTTCGCGACGTGCCATTCATTCACCCACCTTGGTGAAATTCGCAATTGACGGCGTCGAGACGAATGAGCAAGCGACGGCGAGCTCCAACACGGAGCTGTTGGCGTTTCGTCCTCAAAATCGCACGAAGACTCGGAATTCCCTTCGCTCAGTCCGAGAAGTGCGCGCGGTGGAGGAATTCTTCTTCTCCCTCCCTCTCTCTCTCTCTCTCGCTTGAATCCCGGCTCGTCCTCGAGCGCGCTCATCGAGTCGAATCGCTCTTGTTCCAGGTGTGGTTCAAGAACCGTCGCGCCAAGTGGCGGAAGCAGAAGCGGGAGGAGCAGGATCGTCTGCGGAAGCTGCAGCTGGAGCAGCGTCAGCGCAGCGACGACGGCGGTGCCGCGGCGACGGTGATGGTGAGCGATCGTTTGAGCCTGAACAGGCAACAGCAGCAGAAGCTTGAGCAGGACACGGACAGCTCCGACCTCGAGGTAGCGTAGTCGGGCCCACGGCGAGGCGAGTCGCGAGTCCTCCCGTCGGCGGTCGAGGAGCAGCAGGAGGACCAGGACGAGGTCGAGGTCGAGGAGATGAGCAGATAAGCAGGCGGCCCGGGATTGTCGCGCTCTTATCGACGACGACGGGGCATGTACATACGTCATTCAATTGTACATATTATTGTAAATATGAGTAACGATGGATGTGTACAATACCGAAATAAATTATTGCATCGAAGCACGAGGCGGTACGACGTTTCTCAGCATCTTGCGAAAGCTCGTCGCGACATTTGCGTTGTCGTGGGGACGAACGACGTCTCGTAGGACTCTCATTCACATGGAACGTCAAATGGACGTTGACGAGCAACTCCTAGCTTTCTTCAGGTCGAACGCATCATATCGCGAGGCCTTCTTCCGACTTTGCTTCCTCGTGAGTCGTGATCGAGCGTTAACGAGGAATTCGCCGGAGTCCTTGTCTTGCGTGAAAACGCGAGAGAGTTAGCTTCTTAGACACGTGAACTTGGACTGGAGCGGCTCTTCTCTCGCGGAATCTGCCATCGCGCACGACGGAAGGACTCGGCTCGGCTCGGCTCGGCGTCTTGTTGCTGCGAATGAAATCTCGCTCGTCTCGACGCGTCCGCGAAAATAGCCGGCGATTCCGCGGCTGTCCCGTGGATCTTCGGCTTCCCCGGGACCGATCCTTCCAGTCACGAGCATTCGGCTCGACGACGGTGCTCGACGACGAAGCGTCCGTTGAGATCGCGAGACATGGAAATCCCGTGATACTATCGCGCGCTTATTGTTATTACTGGCGCGCAGCTCGCTTCTGCGACAATATTTTCTTATTGAAATCGCTTCGCTGTTGTGGAAAATGCATTCTCGTTTGTATAAACATTTACACGCGATTCCTGCGCGCATAAATATTAAAGCCTCGTCGATCGTTTAGGAATTTCAAAATGGTCAGCCGGATGTGCACGGCGAGGGAATGCTGCAGAGTCACAGTCGCAGCAAGAAGCAGTTGCTTACGCACACAGGTGCGCAGGCGCACGCACAAACCACCCCCTGCACGGCGATATAAATTTTATTTAGAATTACGGTGAGACAAGAGAAAGAGAGAGAGAGAGAGAGAGAGAGAGAGAGAGAGAGAGTAGCTTGCGCCCGCTGAATTCCCTCGTCCCGACCATCCGCGCTCTTCCTCTTCTGCGCCTTCGGCTATCGCAACCTCTGTCGCACACCCTGTCGTTCGCTCACCACCGTTCGTTGCCTCCTCTACGCCCTCCTCTTCGCCTTGCCGACCACTCGCTTATGAACGGGCCTCCTCGTCGTACGACGAGCAAACTCGGCGCCCACCTCGACGACCTTGAGGATCTCCACGGGGTTCAGAGTGAAGCGGCTGCGGTCGGGCGAGCCGATGCTCGCCACCAGCACCGTCGCGAACTTGCGGAAGGACGTGGCTCTCATGAGGTACGGCACGCCGTGGCCGTAAGTGAAGAGCGGCGGGCCGAAGGAGCCGACGTCGCACATGTAGTACGCGCCGCAGAACTTGAAGAGGCCGAGGCAGACGCTCTCGCACGTCAGCACGGCGAACGGGTGCTCGGCGAACATACGCTCCAGCGAGCGCCACAGGCACTTGTCCGACTTGGCGTACAGCCTGCCGTCCAGCGCCGGCAACATCCGGGCCTCGAAGATGGTGCCGGCGATGTCGAAGCGCTCGCTCAGGTACTTGCTCCAGCAGTCCACACGAGCGTACTCGCTGCTGCCGACCTTGCGCTCGGCCTCGAGCCTGCTGCGCGTGTAGTAGCGGTCGCCGCACATCACCACCACGTCGAGGACCTTCGGACTCCAGTACTCGGGCGCCATCAGCCTCGTCATGCCGGCGCACACCACGTAACACGCGTACGTCTGCATGCCGCGGTTCGCTTCGTCGAACATGCCGTCGCTCACGTGCACGGAGCCCCACAGCGAGAACAGCCTGTTGGCTTCCTCCACGTGGTAGTGATGCCACCTCTTCTTGCCGGAGTCGCCCGCCACGACCTTGGCCGCTCGTCGCTTCTGGCCGCTCCCGGCCGGACACTTGCTCCAGGTAGCGCGGAAGCGCTTCAGCCACGCGACTCTCTCTCGCGCAGCTCGGGGATCCTCGTCAACGTCCATCTCCGATTCCCGCTCGGCCTCATCGCCGTCGCTCGTCTCGAAGAAGCTTGATCGGACCTCGCCGACGCGAGGTTGTCGCGGTGCTTTCGGTGCAGCACCGCGCTGCAGCAGCTTCAAGTTGTGCAGCTGGCAGCAGAGGAAGGTCACGTGGAAGATCTGCAGGTCGAAGACGTGCTCGTCGGCTCGGACCGACCGCGGCACCTCGTATGCGAAGGCTCTCAGCGAGAGGAGCACCAGGTGCCGGCGTAAGGAGTCCTTGGAGCAGAACTTGACGATGCAGCCGCGGCCGTCGTCGTCCCACAGGCCGAACTCGTCGCATCGGTAGGGGTTGTACAGGTACCAGAAGAGGCCGTCTTGCCAGAAGGCCAAGGAGAACCTGCTCGTGCGGAGGATGCAGTTGCGATAACGCCAAGCCAGCTGATCGAACCACTGCTCGACCGCTCGCGCGTCCTCGTGCACCGGCACGCCCGTCGACTCCGTCACCTTGCGGCAGCCGAGTTCCACCCTGACCTTCAGCGGGTCCTTCCTCGGCAGCATTACCCGTCGCTTCAGGCCGTTCTCTTCGTATCCCCAGTCGACGCCCCGCGCCACCGGCGCGTCCTTCATCTCGTGAACCAGCTCGAGCTCGACGCTGTACTTGTAGTTGTACACGACGACGTCGTCGAAGCGCTGCTTCCTCCTCACGTTGAGCGCGCCGATGTGGGTGAAGAGCGTCCAAGCGTGGTCGTAGATGTAATCGATATTGGCGCCCCACGCATACTTGTATCTTCCAAGCGCGAGACGATATCGATAACGTCAGATTGCGGAACAGAGTTCGCGCGAGCGCGCGGACGGATGAGCGTGCGACGTGTAGCTGAGAGAAGCCGAGCCGAGCGTAAAGGAGCGGAGGAAAGCTAAATAGATCCATCTCCCTCTCTCTCTCTCTCTCTCTCTCTCACCCTCTTCCTTTCTCACTCCACCGTTTACTTCGCTTCGCCTGACAAATGTCAGGTCGCAATGAGTCGAAATTCAGTTCGAGAGACTCGTTCGTAAGCGAGAAGGGAGACCAGATGGGCGGAATTCAATCGCAAACTGACTGATCGTTAAACTCGTCGGACACTCATCGAACTTGAAGCGCTGCTGTATTACACGCTGCTTCGAGCTACCGCTCGCGCGTCTCGATACCTGAGCTGAGTTTTCGCCAAGAGTGCCACGAGCGCCTGATAGAAGCAGAACTTCCAAGTGGCCCTGCGTGCCCGCAGCGGACTCAGTTCCGGCAGATGCATGCCCTTGAGCCCGCGGAGCACCACGTTGGCGTGCGCACGCTTGCCCTGCGAATTCTCCGCAGCCAACTCCAGCACGACGTAATCGCCGTCCACGAGACCGGGGCGCTCGCCGGCCGCGCGATCCACCATGAAATCCGACTTGGCCTCCGGACACGGCACCGGCGCTCGAACGTGGCCCAGCTCCTTGCGATTGGCGAGGTCGCTCCCATGTTGGCGCAGCAGAAGCTCTTCCTCTTCGTCGAGCCGCGAGTCGCAAGGGAACGCGTCCCTCCGCTTCCTTCGCTTTTCCTTCTCGCGCAGTTCGCCCAGCAAGTCCCGCTTAGTGCATGGCCAAACACCGGGCCACTCTTCGCTTCCGCTTCTCGACGACAGCCTGCCCCTTCGCCCAGGCAGACTCGCCTAACCGGAAGTCCGGAAATCCACTTACGAGTATCGCGATTAAGCAAACAGGTAGACGACGCACGATCCGATCGACCGACGACGTGCTTGCTCGTGTCTCGAAGCGCTCTGCGCTCTCGCGAAAGTTCTCGGAGCGGAATCTCGTTGGAGTCAAAAGGGAGAGAGAGAGAGAGAGAGAGAGAGAGAGAGTTCGCTCGAAGCTACGGTAAAGTCGTACTTGCCACTCGGAGTCACGAGAGCGAATATTTTGCTCGGGACGGGATCGAGCGAATTTCTAATCCGTACAAGAAAAGCCTTCCATCGGAAGCGAATTTTCGCCAAGCCAGACGGCAAAGTACGTAAAATTCACTCTTCGACGTCGAACGAAAATGCTCACCCGCGCAAAAAAAAATTCGCCGAGAGTCACTCAGGTCGAGCGAGACGGTCTCGGCTGTCGAGTGGAATTCCGAAGGAATTCAGAGCTGGCGGGTCATTAGGACGTCGCCGTGTCTCCGTCTATTTTCACAAAGACGGCGCGAAGACGGAATCGTCCGAGCGCGATCGAGCGCAACGAAATGAGCACGCAAACCTCGAACGGCACGTCGTCGCCGTCGCTTTGTCCTTTAACTGACCGACTGCCTCGACCTCACGCTTCTCCAAATCGACCTCATCTCGCCTCGAGTTGGCCCGACGGGTGTCCCAGCGGCCGCTCGACGGCCGAGCCGAAGGCCGCCGAGCGGAAAACACTGGCGCGGAGGAAGCATCTCGTCGACGGCTGCCGCGTGAGGCAATCTCGGGATGTCGACCGGCGTCTTCCGCCTTTCCGAAGCGTCCTCCTGCTCCTGCTCCGGCTCGCTCCTCCGTGATTCTGCGTATCTATGTGAGTTGCACCGGGAAAATGCTCAGTTGAACAGACTCCAATTTTCTACTATATACGAACGATCCAGAAATTCCGACGGAGGAGATCAGAATTCCGCCCGAGTTAACCAGGAATCTGGACAATTTAGACTGAATTCCGACAGCTCCAATCGGAACGTCCGGATTCTTCAGCTTTCACCAGAAGATTGTTCCATTTTTCTTCGTGTTTATCAGCTACCGCGCGCGTGAGAGAGAGAGAAAGAGAGAGAGAGAGAGAGGAGAGAGAGGAGAGAGAGAGAGAGAGAGAGAGAGAGAGAGAGAGAGAGAGAGAGAGAAAGTGTCCCTTACGACTTCATGTAGACGCGCCAGAGCGACTCTCCCTCGCGGATGCGTCTCTCCTTCACGCGTCTCTCCATCCGGAGTCTCTTGTTCCTCCTCCTCCTACGTCGTCTTCCGACCTCGACTCGTTTCGCATCCTCGCTGAACGCGACGTCTCCGGCGCTCTCGTACTTGGCGACAGTGTCGTCGGTCGTCGCGTCGTCCGTCGCAGCGTCCGCCGGAAACTCGCTCGTCGCAGTCTCCTCCTCGGTCGGGCCCTCCGTTTCCGCCATGCTTGCGGGAGACTTTGAGGTTTGAGGTGTCGATCAGGACGGTCCCCGGAATTTCACGGTGGACGCATCGTCAATGCAACATCGTGCAAGTGGAAGATTCCGAGAAAGAGAGAGAGAGAGAGAGAGAGAGAGAGAGAGAGAGATAAAGAGAGAGAGAGAGGGGGGGGAGCAAAAAAGGGGGGAGAAAAATTTTTCTAAAATTTCGTTGCGCGTCCGAAAGCGACGAGGAACAACGAATAATGGACGACGAAGCGAGGCGGCACGCTCCTCCACGTTGACAATTTTAACCTAACCCCCGTACGAACGCGCGTGAATTTGGCTCCTCGACGCACGTCCCTTCGTGCAAAACGAACGAGCGAGCGCACTCTGAGACTGCGCTCTCCGCTAGGAGAGTCTCGTTGCCGACAGATAGATTACAACAAGTGTACGCTGCCGCGGATTATCGTGCGTGCAGATCGATTCGACGCGTTTGAGATACGCCGAGCCGAGCGCAAATACGAGCTCACGCTGCATTGTAATTATGTGTACGACGATTCGCTGATTGTTCCTCTCGCGCTCCAGCGGAATCCCATCGTCGAGTACTTCCAGCGTTCCATTCACGCTGGTAATCCGAATTCGAAGCGGCAGCAAGGAGAAGGCAAACACTTCGCCACGGGAATAGAGAGAGAAAAAGAGAGAGAGAGAGAGAGAGAGAGAGAGAGAGAGAGAGAGAGAGAGAGAGAGAGAGAGAGAGAGAGAGAAGGAGCAAATAAGAAAGTAAGGGGCGGGGAGAGGGGGGCGGGGGTGGAAGAGGTCGGTTCGAATTTGTATAGGCCCTCGGAAGACTGTAGCGGGACAGGCTCCTCGAACGCGGATGGCTTCCTGAAGCTGAAAAAATACAGGCCCGCGGCGGCGGCGGCGGCGGCGGCGGCGGCGACGGCGGCAGCGGCGGCAGCGGCGGCGAGAAGAGGGCGGACGGGCGGGCTCCGTCGATTTACCGCGTTTCGTTGTACGATTTTGTAATTATTTTGCCGCGAGGCAGACGAAGCCGTAGGAGCGGCAGGCAATCTCGGCGCGGCGAAGCCTGCCGGTGACGCAAGATTTTCAAAGTGTTTATAAAATTACGCGCGCGATACCGCGCGCGCGACCGAAATAACGCGAAACCGTACACCGGCCGGGCCGCGCGGTATTCAAATCATTATTGGATTTGGGAGCCCCGCGCGTGCATGGATGACGGACAAATAAATCGTATTTCAAATGCCACAAAGTCGGCGTCGCCGATTTCGCAATCGCCGCGGCGATCGGGAGAGAGAGAGAGATCGCGCGCGCACGAATACAACCGAAATTCATTACGCAGCAGCACTTGGTGCGCGAATACTTGGTGAGCTGGATATTGCCGGTTGCGGGGCGGCAATTTCATTGATGTCGTTTTCAGAGACGCGGTCGGATCCATTCGAGAGTCGAGTCGAGCCAGCGGACGTTAGACGGAATCGCGTCTAATTGTGACTCGACGATCGTGTAATCGGCGGCGAGCTTGGAACGTCGCTCGAGTGCTACTCGTTCAAGTTACCAGCAGAGTCTCGTCTGAAACGACCGATAGCTTTCGACTGTATAAATGACATCTTCTCTCGTTGAGCTCTTCTTTTTAGATTTGGCTGTTGAGAAGTTCGGTGTTCTTGTGCCCGCTTCGGCCGATCTCTTCTCTCTCAGCGCGAATTCCCGCTCGCTGAGGCGAGCATCGTGAGCGACCGCTTAAGTAGACACGAGAGCTTAATTCGCTCGCGCTCTCGCGAGCGTCACGCCGGGAAAACGAGCAACAACTTGCGCGGAAACCGAAGGAAAATACACAGGTGTATCGTTGCGCTCCGTTGCGTCGCCGCTGACGTGTGCGCGCTCGCGTGTTCCGAAATTAATATTCGCGGCTTTTGTTCGCGCTATTTGCAAGTTTGTGCTTTCCCGTGGCAGTCATACACGGCAGTTTTGCGCGCGAGAGCGGCGTAAAGTTTTTAACGTTAATGAAATAACAAATGTATGCGAGGTGCGAGCCGACGTGTGCGAAGAGAGATGTTTCGTGCGCTTTCTCTCTTTCTCTCTCTCTCTCTCTCTCTCTCTCTCTCCCCCTCATTACCGAAACCGGCCGCTGTACTGCGATACTCGCGCGGCGATACGACTCGAGCCGCGCGACGCTCTCGCCGATTTTTCGCCGATAATTCGAGCCGAGCTTTCCGCGAAGAGGCCGGATAGGGGCGGGCGTAGTATCTCGCGGGAATCCCGGCACCGGACGAGGTCGGAGTGGAATTCGAGGCCGGAATCAGCCTGATCCCCGACGACGGCCGCCGGGCGAGCGTTTTCCGAGAGAAATTTTCCGCGGCCGGGAATCGAAGATCAAGACAATTCCCGCTGAAAGTTTAATGCTAAGCTCACGGAGACACGGAGAAGAGAGACGTAAACTCGTCGGGAAGACGGATTGATTGCTTGCGTGCCGCGGCTAAACCTCGGGAGCACACACATAAATGAATTATCGCGATCGATCATCGCAAGCCGGTCTCGCTCCCTCTCTCTCTTGTGCTCTTTCGAGCCAACTCTCGCGTCGCGCCGAGAACCTCGGCAACGATCCGAGGATTCGTCAAGTTCCACGGCTCATCGCGACGTGACCGAAAGCCGAAGAAATTTCTCGATGTCTTCCGCTCGCTGCAAGTCCGAGTGCGTATTTTGGCACGCGTGAGCGTGTGTGGTTGCGGCTGAGAGGTTTCTTTGCGCGTTTCCGCTCGTCTTCAAGTTCGATCAGACATCATTTAGATCAGGGGTTCTCAACCGGGAAAATGCTCGCACCCCCTGGGGGTGCGAAAAAACATTCTTAGGGCTGCGAGGAAAAGTGATTGTAATTAATAATGATTAAGATGAATTCTGGAATAATCCGGCATTTTTTACCATTAAATTAAAAAAGATGTTATTAAAATTACATATTCTTTACGTATCTGTATGTATATATTCATCACGTATCACTGTGCGAAGCTTGATACCATGGATAATAATTTTATAATATTAAAATGATAGTTAATTTCTATAAAACAATACTATATAATGATAAATTATTACAAAAATTAACTTCTTATCTTAAAACGACTAACGACTAATTTTTGCCATAAAACATACGAATAACATTTTCTCGTAGGGGGTGCGAAGATCGTTAATAAATTTTTAAGGATGCAAAATACAAAGAGAGTTGGAAAACCCTGATTTAGACGCATTAAGCGACGTGCGACTCACGACGATAAAAAAGATGCGCAAAGAAAGCCTCAATTATACGCTTATGCGCTTCGATTAACAATTTACGAGTCACGACGAAGCATCGTCGCTCGTCATGTTCTCCGGAGGTAAAGAGAGAAAGAGAGAGTGAGAGAACGGGAGTGATAAAAGAATGGGTATCGTCAAAATTGTCAATTGATACGTTTACACACGGGTGTATTACGCTCGCAGCGATACAGATATTGTCCCGTGCGGATACCTGTAAACCTGATTGAAATTATTACAAGGATCGCGTATATTGCCATGGCAGAAATTTCGGGGGGACTGCGGTGCGAGAATCGTCCCGAGGGGTGAGGAGAGACGAAGCGGATTGCCCGTGCGTATATAACATGCGTGCATGTACGTTTGGATATAACATATAGCCATTCGGAAAGGAGAAACGGGGGAATGAGTGCAGAGAGCGAGGGAGCGAGAGAGAGAGAGAGAGAGAGAGTGCAAAATAAACAGTGCATTATATGCAATAACGCACAAAACACCCCTACGGCTGTGCAGTCATCTCCTTCGAAAGATTCGGCCGCGAGTGGGCGCGCGGGCAATCCAATTAATTTTATTTTAATTAACGCATCGTCGAGCATACGTCGATTGTTATTGTTTCGACGTCGATGAATCGACCGTCGTCCGTAATTTTGCCGCTGACAATTTCCGCCGCTCGTCCGTCCCGCGACACGACGCGACGCGACGCGACGCGACACGACGCGGCGCGGCGCGGCGCGACGCAACGCAACGCGACATCCACGCAAATGAACATCCGCCGTTCCTTCGAAATGGCAAATTTCCCATTATTTCTTAGAACAAACTTCCGTTTGAGAGAAAAAAAAAAGAAAAAGGGCGAGAACGGAAGAAAACAAAAATCGGTCGATCGATCAACCATTTAGCGACGTAATATTTTTCTCCGAAATTGCACATCGGTGACGAAGAAGAAATAACGCGCCCGTCGAGGATGAGGATCGCGATGTTCGCGATCCTCGCCACGAAACGACGCGACAGCCTCTTCAATTCCGGCGCGGCGGTAGATTACACGGAATTTTGCGGAATTAGCAGCTGGGAGGAATGAAGCGGCGGATAACTCGAGCGGCGAGAGAGAGAGAGAGAGAGAGAGAGAGAGAGAGAGAGAGAGAGAGCGAGAGAGAGGGAGAGAGAGCGAGAGAGGGAGAGAGCGAGAGATTCCGCGGAAATAATATTCCTTAATGTCACGGGGGAGCACAATACGCGCGCGCGTACTCGCTTTGTTTGAAGTGAAAACAGCCGGCATTGGGGCTAAACGCGGAATCGGCGGCGTCTTCGCCCGCGCTCGCTCTGCGCTCGCTTCGGCGAGAGAAGCAGCGCACGATATCACGCAAGAGATAAATCCCTCGGGAGCCACACGGCCGAGTGTACGTAAGTCCCACTCGGGGGAGGGAGCGAGGGAAACGCGTGTACCGCGGCGATCTCGGCGTACGACGACGCGCGGCCATGTACCCAACGACGGCGGCGGCGGCGGTGGCGGAGGCCGCGCTGCCGCGCGATCGATGGCACTCGATACACAGAGCCGGCGAGGAGTTAAAAAGTCGGCGTATTGAATTTACAAACGAGCCGT